TATCTTAATATGAAAGTGCTTTATTTCTGATTTTTCCTTTGCTCCAGTTTTGGTCGCAGTGATCGACAGGAAGAGTGATGATTTTCGAAATGACTAGACTACTTAAATAGAACACTATAACTATAATAACTAAACTCTAACAATGGTAAGGCTTTGGTTAAGGCGTGGTTCGGGTAATTAGGGTTAATTGGATTTCTAGTAATAGTGTTGGGCTTGGATAAGTACATACCAATAACTTTCTCATTAAACAATTTGTTCTCTTTGGCACTTTTGCTTGAGGCTTTAACTTCTTTCTTCTTTTTGTAAGTACTACGGTTGGATCTTGAGATCAAATTTAGCCAATTAAAATCAGTTACGGGATTACATGATTTATTTTAGCATCCAAAAATGCTGAAATCGATGTAATCGAATTATGTGTATATAATAATGGATCGATCACTGATTTAATTAGTAACGAGTATATTACAAAAATGACGAATTTCGGGAACAAGAAAAAATGATTTTAATAGTAAAGGGGAACTTATTGGAGACTACAACTTCTACTAAACATTTCAAGCTCCAAGAGTTGTGTATTTCAAATTGAACTCACCAGAGTTAATTTTTTTCAAGGTGAGTTCATGCTGCTTATATATATTATTTTATATATGTCGAGATAAGATATCACTAATATCTAATATATCTAATATTTCTAATATATCAGATATCTCTAATATATTGAATATCTTTAATATCTCTGATATCTTTGTTATTTTCATTATCTCTGTTATATTCGTTATCCTCGCTATCCGAGAGATAACAGTTATATCACTAATAACTAAGATATCGAAGATCTCTAGAATCACAGAAATCCTTGTGATTTTCATGATTCCAAGGATTTTTGGAACTTGTGTTACTTTGAACTGCAAATTCAAAATTTTTCTTTTTACAACGTACGTACGTACGTACTTTGGTCAGCAAATTTTATACATGCAATCACAAAGATCTGAAAATCTAAAAATTATAATGTAATAGATTTTATAATTTTATATGTACGTACGTACGTACTCATTTTTCTAACACGCATTCTAGTATAACAAGTATGGCATATAGCTTATTGGACAAATGATATATAGTTGATCCTTTGTAAGCAGTGTTGACCATTTTGGGTCATATTCAACTTTATATGACCAAGGTGGTCATAATGTAATAGTAAATTGTATAAGTCATAACAGGTCATAAGGTCATAACCTATAGTTGGCTAATAGGTCATAACAGGTCATAGGCCAACACTGTTTGTAAGTGCACTTCACATGCACTTTCTATAGGCATGTATCATTTATTCAGTCTATTTAATTGAATAACTTCATATATGGTTTCCTTTTAATAAGCACATATTCTGTAAGTGCACTCTTCTTAACAATATGCATTTATAGAAGATTGAATGTATCGGATTTAAAATTATAATTTTAAAATAATACATGCCGTATTGTCTCACAGGGGTGATATTACAAATTTCGGCCTAAATTAGGCTTAATTTGGGCCATTGCTCCAAATAACGCCCATGCCCGTTATTTCGTGAAAATACGGTAGGTCAATTAATTAACTTGTAGATTAGCATTATTTCATGCTTATATTATAGTAGTACTTTGCGATAGATTAATTAATTAATGGGTCCACCAAATTCAGCAAACGACATGCAGATTACTATAATTTTCTTTTTATCGGAAATATCTTAATTCAAAGACTTTTTGTTTTTGTTTAACCTTATGAAAATATAGACAACAAACGCTAAAATTTTAATATTAATTAACCAACAGCAAAATCCTGCATATTTATTGGATATATACTAAAAATTTGAATGTGCTATTTTTAATAATTTGCAAAATATTTTGTAGATTTTATGTAATTGATGATTTAACTAATAACCACAGTAAATTTAAAAAGCACAGTACTAACAACTATAATTTTTTAATTATAAAAATTATAATATTCCCTATTTCTTTTAATAAAAAGAAGTTCATTAACTGTGTCAGGCTTAAGCCTGTTTCTTTCAGCTGTTATTTGCTTATCTGCGTCACTAAAAAGACGTTCACTGGGAACGGACGTCGCTGGAATTCCTAAATATTTTTGAGATATCTTAAAAAGAATGGGAAAATCTTTTTTATTATCTTTTCACCATTTAAATGGATCTTTATCACTATTGGCTTGTGGTGTCCGAAATCTGTCAAGATAAACATCAACTTCATCCTCATTAATCTCTTCATCTTCTTCAAACAGACGTAATTTAAAATTGTTATTTGGTTTTTTTTTATGCCCTTTAAAATGATATCTATTTTTATTGCTAGACTCTTGGCTATTATTTAAATGTTCCTCGTCTTTAAAAAGGGTGTATTCAGATCTTAATAAAGCAATTGCTCTTTTTTTTTCTTCTTCTGGCCATTCTTTCATTTTTTTGAACCTAGGGTCTAAAATACTCGCAAGTAAGACCGAATTTGGCGGAGAATCGAAATAATTACAGAGAGCGTTATAAATTGTATTTTTGACCAAATTAATAATATTAGTAATATTTGGTCTATTAATGCTATTATTAGCTTCTTTCTCCGTCTTCTCTTCAGTTTCTTCTTCAGTTTCTTCCTCAGTTTCTTCCTCAGTTTCTTCCTCAGTTTCTTCCTCAATTTCTTCTTCAATCTTTTCTTTCTCCCGATCCGACTCTTCACTCATTGATTCGATTTCTATTATTTTTAATTATTATAAAATAACATATTATTAATAAATAACAACATTTTTTAAAGTTTTCAATTTATGAATTAATTCTATACACACTATCTAATAATTTAGTTTATATGTATAGTAATCGATTAGAGAAATTTGATTAAGTTTAAATTAGTTTTAAATTAGCAAAATTTTCTAATACTACTCAGCGTATAACTCTATTAACTTATAATTATATTACCCAGTTTTGTATGTACGTACGTACGTACAAAATACTGGGTATGAACTACATATATGCAGTGCTAAATGGGACGTATACGTAGTGTATTATATATGAAATTTGGTAGTCATATATACTACGTAATTTCAAAAATAACAGCAAAAAAATATTTATTGAATTTTGCAAAGCTCTATGAATTGTGCAACCCGTAATAAAAAAAAATATATATACCATCACTTTCTTCAATTACAAGATAGTCGTATTTTAGGGCTTGTATAGTAGGATATATTAGTGATAACGTGCAATACTTTTGACCGCTAAGCCATTCTGTTGCTTCTTCGATTGGTTGAAACAGCTCAATTAGATGATTAAGCAAATCCCATTCCCAATATTTCAAGAACCGTTTTTTTAATATTTTATGGTCTTTTTTTGCTTCTTTATTACTTTCTAAAGAAAGTTTAAAGATAACATGTTTTATGGAATTTTTTAATTCTTTTAATCGTTTCCAAGAAGCTAATGAAGACCCCCACCGGGTATTACATTCATTAATAGTTCTTAAGATTTTTAAAGGAATATAAGTTGTTGATTCATCTGTTTCTTTATTTGAGGTCAGATCAGATGAATTTGGATTAGACGACTCTTGGTTGGCTGAAGCTGAACTATTTAGCACATCATAATCAGTCTCATTTCTTGATAATTGACGCTGTGCTTCCTCTAATTTTTCATTTTGTTTAGGAGAATTAAAAAAACTATTTAATTTTTTAAATCTTTTTATATACGGCTTAATTTTACGCAAAGCCTTGGTTATACATAATTGAAGGGTGTGTGCCGAGCATGGTACACGTTCAACACCTTCCCACTCACGAATTGCCTTTACCATATTGGAACCACTATCGGTAACTGCTACTTTAACTTTATTATTTAAACCTATAGATGTAATTTTAGAAATAACAGTATTACGAATGTGATCGCCAGTATGAGGATATTTAATATTTTCAATACAAAGAAGGATATCGTATAGCTCCATATCATCATTCAACCAGTGGCAGGTTATTCCTATATACCCATCTTTTGCACGTGACGTCCAGAGATCGGTTGTTATAGCTGCATTTTTACATGATTTGCTAATTAATTCTTTTATTGATTGAAACGTTGCTTGATATCCAATACTCAAATTTTTTTTAATAGTTTTATAGGCTGGTAAACGAAATGCTGGATCAAATTTTTTCATCATTTTCTGAAATCCTAACCCATTTACTGCGCTAAAAGGTTGGGAATCCATTATAATCCAGTCTGTAACAGCGCATTGTAATTCATACTGCTTTGATTCTTTATGCGGTGTGACTTTTTTAAATTGATCATCGATTTTTGTTTGTTTCTAAAAATTAAATACATTAGTAAAAATGCTAAAATTTTAATTATAGAAAATAAATTTAAAATTTACTTACTAATTTTTCTTCATATATTTTATGAGCAGATCCTAAATGATGAATCATACTACTAGTTTGAGAATTATAAATGCAGTTCCATCCACATTCCGTTTCTTCATCCTGGTTTACAATATATCTACAGTAAGCACGGCCATCAGTTTTTAACCCAAAATGCTTCCAAACAAAACTAGTTTTATTATTCCCAATATCAACCCATTGAGGCACTTCAAAAAGCAAATCATTATCGTTGTTACGATTTTTTTTACTTTGTTGAGAGGGCGATGCATAATTAGGGTGCTTTTTTAAATTAGATATTTTAAAAGAACTAAATTTTGCTAAATGCAAACAGATAAAAATCGCATTATGGATTTATATATGTTATATTTTGAGTTAAAAGATCAAAAATTACGATTAGTCTAAACATAATATACTTACACTTTCATATGTAACTAACTGTACAAATGCCCCACAGGTAAAAAAACCAGGTTAAAATAACTAATTTGGTATTAACAGCACCTAAACCCGATTGATAAGAAAGTGGGCGAGGTAAGTATAATTTAATATACTGCTTGTTTTAGAAATTATGACACAAATTCATTAGAATACTAAATTGGATAAAGAAGTATTACAAAAAATAAAATTTCTAAATCGTGAGAAAGTGATCCAGATTCGCACCTAATCTTTCTCTTCAGGTTAATAAGTGACTTCTGTCACTAAAGATCCAAGTCAAATAGCAAAGTATGATAAGTCTTCAATTAGTAATATCATAAAATTAAGGAAGTATTGTAATTATCATTTGATTTTAGAAAAAAAGACACTGATTTTATTCTCACTTTGCTTATGAGTACAAATTTTGATACTACGTCATTAAGCATATCCCTTATTTATTAGATACCTTTTTATGCGTATAAATTATTTTATTTTACTATACTATCTTGTATTATCATTACTTATCGATTAGATTAGTATTAACAGCAACTACTTATGAGAATCATTAATTAATCTCACATTTGCGTCAGTGATAAGGAATTGATCTGAGATACGTACTTCTAAATCATGATGCGATAATTACATAATTAAGAATGATAATTTCTATTTAATGGATTTCTTTGATATAAATTACATCATGGTTATTGTATTAAAATATTGAGAGCTTTAAATTCTAAGTTATTATTAAAAATTTAAATAGTATTAATTAATATTAAATAATCGTATGTAATCAATTTAGTCCATCTCTGGTTGCAATGAATGAATTTTATAAAAGTATCTAACTAAATTAGTATCGTAATTGTTAACGCCACTGTATGAAGCGGCATTCATACTGAACACGATAGCATAATGCTTTTGACATAACAAGCTTCTCGGTTCGCTGCACATACAAGTTCTTACATTGTGAAGGTTTATCAAATAAAAAATAAAGTTTTTTTATCTAACAGAATTTGTTTCTAATAGCTCTATCTAATACCACTACTTTTAATATTGATATTTTATTTAGATGTTATAAGAATGGCTGGAATAACATCATGGTAATGATGCATTATTTCTATTGTTAGAAAATTGCATTTGGGAAGTTACTAAGAACATCTTGAATAATTGATATATCCAATCTAATACTAATCGGTCTGGGACTGTAATCTAATCTGTTTTTTTCAAATATGACCAGATAGTACAATATAATACTACGTACACACTAACTAATATCTAACAAACAGGATCTAAATTCCCTAATTGGTAGGCTTCGATCAAAGCGTGATTAGATTTAGTCTGAACTTAAAGACTTAGGGTCTTGTGAGTATATGACTAGGACTTGGTTAAGTATATCTTTACTTTAAGTTTGTATTTCTTGTACTTAATGTATTGGTTCAATACTAATATCTTTATATATTTTCTATTATATGCTGCATCGAAGGATGCTGAAATTTGAGAAATACAATTGCGTAAGTATTTGGTAACAATAAATTTAATCACAAATGTAATCACTGAACTTTTTATATAAAAGAGTTTGATTGCTAATACAATTACTAGTTAGCAAAAATTACAAAATCGGTTTCAACAGTCATTTTACCGAAAGATCACTTAACCAACATCACATGTAGTTAGAGTTAAGTATCTTATTAGTTGCAAGTATATATTTTTACTAAATTTCACCTAGCGTGATGTCAGCTAAATGAGTTGTTGGTGAAGTGAATGTTAGTAAAATAATACGGACTCCAAGAGAATACAATTTTTACGAATAAAAGTTTTATACAGGAGATTATTACTATTTGAATACCTTTACTATATTATTTTTGAAGTCCCTAAGAGTTGTCTTTATACTAATTGTTTATATACTTTTAATTGTATATAGAGAAGGGTTTTAAAATTTAACTATCTTTCTCACATTTTCATTATCTTTTTACTATTCGCTTCAATTTTGTTAATTTATACTATACAATTTATTCAATTTGTATAATTTTAACAATTTTTAATATCCTTGGACTGAACATAAATATTGGATATATAGTCCAGGTTCAATATGTCCAATTACTTATTTATCAATTTGCTCATTTTGTGATATCTAAATATAATAATATTAATATCATTTTATTTCAAATCCAGATTTTCTATGCGCTATATTTTTTGTATCATATTTTAATCACATTTAAGTATCATAATAAGCGTTATTAGCCAAATTTTATTCTGCGTCTTATTAATTGAACATTAACTCATTCATTTCATTTATATTAATTTATAAGGATCGCTAATTCGTTAAATTCGTAAATATTTAAGTAAATAAGGCATTTTAGCTATCGTGATATTTGGAATAAATCATGATTAATTACTTTGCATTAACTATGTGGATAGTATTGAAATTACCTATTTATTAATTTATATGAACAAAAAAATATCTATAAACTGAGACATTTGAAATAGATTATTCAATTTGGCAAATATTTGAGTGTCGCCAAATGAAAACATGCAATTTCAAAAAGTAGATTTATTATGAAATTCATAATAAATCTACTTTTTGAAATTGCATGTTTTCATTTGACGATACTCATTTAATGTTTCTCATCTTGTGTTATCTAATTAATTTAGAAAGATAAAAACAATTAATTTATTAATACTATTGCAATACAATTATATATTTTTATTATTAAATTAGGCAGCAAAGCTGCTAATATAAAATTAATAACAAATCAAAACGCATTTTATAATATATATTGTTACATATTAAGCAGTAAGCACTTAAATTATATAATTATTGGATCATATTCAATGTCTAATACCCTCCGATCCAATAGATTAGACTGAGGGTGCTCTCAAGCAACACCCTCAATGTGATCAGCTAGTTATAGAGATCGTGCACAAGTACTACGATTAATCGAAGTAATTCTTATGGTAATTTTGCCAAAGATTCATGTTGCGAAATGCAGATATTAAATTTTAGCCAATCAGCGCAACTCTATGATAAAAAAAGATGGTCTTTAACCATCTTTTTTTTTCATCGCAATAATGGACTCGCTTGACCGAATAATTTGTTTTCTACTGATTAAAAGTTGGGCTCCGATCTATTGATTTAGGTGCTTAAGAGCACCCTGAATTGAACAAAGATATTCCAATGTCTAGACACAACACTAGCTTAAATCATAAATATAGATATCAGTATATAATTGTACTCTATTACTAATATCCCAGATGAAATCATATTAAAAAATTTTTAATCAATCGATCAATATATAATTTTTTGATCGATCAAGTATTATCAATCATTGATTGATCTATTGTTGCTCGAGTCTATTAATTGGTGCTCGATCATTGACATAAATCGATCAATAATCGAGCATAGTATAGTTGAGTCAATTCCTTAGCTATAACATTGACGCCATAACAGTGATGCCTTAACAGTAAATCTGTACTATAAGCCGTAACTATAAGCCATAATAGTAAATCTGTAAATATAAGCTGTAAGGATAAAGTATAATAAATCTATAACTATAAAGCCTGTAAAGCTTATAAAAGTAATACCCAAATCGAAATCTGCAGCACATAGTAATTCGAAGGTAAAAAATTTTTTTTTGGTGTTTTTTTTTTTTTTTACATAAAAAAACTATATTAACATACTATTTTATTAGCGTGTTAAGTACACAGAACCCTCTGTTAATTACATCAAGGAAATTTGAAAAAATTCAAAGCTCAAAAGCACTCACAAGGCAACAGAAATGTGGGTCCGGGCATTGGAAGAGTTTCAATCTGATGTTGGTTACATAGGAAAAATTGAAGAGGTTAGTTTGAAAAGGGACCTAGAGGACCAATTATCGAAGTTTGTATGTGCGATGAAGAAACGTAATAGTGGAGAGTATCATGCAACATCTATAAGAAGCTGTATCGCAGCTATTTAGAGGCATCTTAATGAACATTCTATAATGGAAAAGCCTATTGAAATACTTAATCCAAAGGCGTACTTCGATCTCAAACAAGTAATCAACAGAAAATTGAAGAATCTTGCTGCAAAAGGCTTGGGCGAACATGTCAGAGCTGATGGGCTTACAATGAATGAGGTTGAGCAAATCTTGGGCCACGCCACAATGCAATATAATACGCCAGAAGGCTTGTTACGAAGAATTTTTTTTTATAATGCAATACTGTTGGCATTACATGGGGGTGAACATTATACTCTGCAAATTAATAAGTTCATTAATAGGTTTGATGGTGGAATTGATATCAAATTGTATAAATTAAAAACCAATCAACAAAAGTTGGAGAATTATGATGCACAGGATGAGGTTATCAGCTTGCCCAACATAAAAAGTATCGTTGATGATTATGAATTTTACTTTACTAAGCGTCTGATGACGACTGTGATGAATTTTTATCTAAAGCCGATAACTTTAAATTCAGGTAAATACTTTTTTTTTGTGTACTTGTTAAATAATCTTGTGATTTCACGAATATGGATGTATGTTTACTAATTTTTTTTTAATTTATCAGTAGAATTTAGTAGACAATGGTATTACGCACGTGCTCTAGGTGAGTGAAAGTTGCGAGAATATTTTAAGATCATATGTAAAACTACAGACATTCAAATTGGAACTCGCAATATTTCAAATCACTCTGGAAGAAAAACTGCCATGCAATTGTTAAAAGAGCTTGGATATTCTGATTCAGTTGTGATGTCGATTACAAGACATAAATCTCAAAAAGGTCTTGCTGCATATGAACGCCTAAAATCTGTAATGCAACATGAAGGTCTCAATGGATTTTTTAATGTATTAAAACAAGATTCAAAAGGTAATTTCTATTTATCACTTTGATTGTTTGCTTTTAAATACTTGGCTAATATTTTACATAAAATCCTGGTCACCATAAAGACAACGAAGTTCCTGGTGACCATGATAAGCTCAAAGATCGATGAAAAATCGCTCTAGTGGCTGGTGATTTCGCGCTTGCAAGTTCATTCATT